TTGATTTACAGAGACATTTGTCGTAATGGGTTTTGACCAGGGAACAGTAAATTAAAGCAAGACTTCAAACTTTCACCTTAATTTCCTATATCTCCAATTTTGACCTCTTCCCTCCCTACTTGTACAAAGTAATAAAGGCTAGAATCCCCACTTGGATTTCATTTTTATTTTTCAGAATTTAAATAATTTGTTTTATTACTGTTGAACTTAATTTCTTCAACATTTCTATATTTCTACAAGTAAAATTGTGTTTGAGAAATGGGTGATAAAGAATTTGCTAATATTCAATATTATGCAAATAATGAAAGAATGGATTTCCTAACACTTCAAAAAGTGTGAATGTCTAAGGAATTACGGAATACTATTCTAGCCAATTCATTTATCAAATTAAAATGGGTTTCCAAGCCAGAAAGACAGACACTTTCTCTGGGCTTCCAAAGAAATGTGTTCTATGCTGATAGGACTTGAATTCTGGCTCAGCAGGATATATAAGAAAAATAAAGAGATCAAGACATCATACTGAGATGGTTATTTCTCTAACATAAAGTACACTTTATTTTATATTAAAATAAAAATAGTTAAGTGAAAGATAGGACTAACTTAAATGTTTTTAAAAGTCTATTGCACTAGAAAATTACAATATATAGAGGTAGAGATACAGATACATACATATATCTATAGATATGTATAGTAAACTTAGTGAATATTTCTATATGGTGCTTGCTCTATGCCAGCTACTGTTCTAAGCAGTTTTCTCATTGTAAACTATTCATTCTTGCAGCAACCTTTCAGGTATGTACTATTTATCCTTTTTTTTAATGTTTTTATTGATTTCAGAGAGGAAGCAAGAGGGAGAGAGAGACAGAAACATCAATGATGAGAATCACTGATTGGCTACCACCTGCATGCCCCCTACTGGGATTGAGCCTGCAACCTGGGCATGTGCCCTTGACTGGAATCAAACCCAGGACCCTTCAGTCCACAGGCCCAATGCTCTATCCACTAAGCCTAACCAGCTAGGGCCAGGTGAGTACTATTATTAATACCTATATATATATAAAAAGCCAGTGACTGTGATGACCAAAACGACTGATGACCAATCACTATGATGCCCACTGTGGCCAGCGAACTGGCCTGATCAGGGGGTGGGGCCCGCCAACCAACCTCCCATGGCCCCTCCCCCCAGCTGGCCCGCCCCTGATCAGGCCCCAGTTGGGACAGGCCAGCCAGCCAACCTCCCTCCATCTCCTCCTCCTGACAGGCCCAGCCCCAATCTGCCCCAATTGGGGCCAGGCTGGCCAGACCCCACCCATGCACGAATTTGTGCACTGGGCCTCTAGTTCTAATAATAATACAAGGAGGAAGCCAAGGCAAACAGCTAGTTAAGTGTCAAAGCCAGATTTCAAATACAGACTGTGTGTGCTTAAGTGCTGTATTATTATGGTTACTTCTTAAGAATTATCAATTCAACAGATAAACCTTGTCAGTTCTACAACCTGAATCTCTCCCTAATCCATCCTTCTTCTTTCCAAACCTACTGTAATGACCATTGTGAGGGCTCTCAGCACCTCCTGAGTCCCTCCAGCCTCAAACTCCCCCAACGTAATCCATGGTGGCAGTGCAGGACCACAGCTGGGTCGGGGCGGCAAAGAGTTGAGAAGAGTGACTGGGGGCCCTGTGCACTGAGCTTCATTAGCCTCTCATGTCACCACAAATAGACATAAAATCTACTTAAAAAAACAAACAAAACAGATGTTTACTATTCTAATACAGTTTTAAGACAAATGCTCTATCTTCCTTCTAATCAAGTTGCCATTCCTGCCTTCTTATAGAAACATCTGGAATCTGCACTGACCTTCCACCCTGCTAAATCAGTAATCATAAAATGCAAATTAAAGTCATGTCATTTCCCCTTCACCCCTTCCCCAAGATTTAAATTCCTTAAAACTTCATATAAGGCACTTCCTCGTTTGGCTATCTTTTTTTCTCATCTCTTCTACTTGCCTCACCCATCCAAGCTAGCCATAATAAATAACCTGCATTTCTCTGAACATACCTTGCTTTTTCGGATGTTTTGCCCATGCTACTCCATGTATTAGAAATGTCTTTCCTCCTCTTTGGACACTTGGCTGACTGTTGCTCATAGACTGAGATGCAGCTCAAATATTATATCCTCCATAAAGCCCTCCTTAAACTTCAGGGAACTTCTCTCCCTTCCAAAGTAAAGACTAGGACCAGCCTTGTCTGGATTCCCCTAACTTCCCAGGCATAAATACCTTTGGTCTATTCTTAGCACCATGTGGTTCAATGGTCCTCACACAGCTCCAGCTCCATTTTGTACTGGTTAAAGCAACTGGTTTGATCTTGTTTATCATGGTACCCTCACTGCTTCATACAATGCCTGGCACTCACAATTAATATTCCACTGTGAATATTAATTCACAGTAGGTGAATATTAATTCACGATCAGGCAGGTAGGCAGAGGCAGTTAGGGGAAATCAGGCAGGCAGGCAGGTGAGCAGTTAGGAGCCAGTGGTCCCAGATTAGAGAGGGTACAGGCTGGGTTGAGGGACCCCCCCCCATCCCATGCACAAATTTCATGCACCAGGCCTCTAGTATGTATGTATGTGCGTGTGTGTGCTCTTCCCACCCCCACCCACTTCCCTCTGAGATTTGTCAGTCTGTTCCATGTTTCCATGCCTCTGGTTCTATTTTATTCACCAGGCTAGTTTTGTTCATTAGATTCCTTGTTCATTTATTTTATTTTTAGATTCAATTATTGATAGATATGCCATTACTGCCATTTTATTGTTCACATTTTTAATCTTTTTCCTCTTCTCCTTCTTCTTGTTCTGCTTCTGCTTCTTCTTCTCCCTCTTCTTCAACATCACCCTTAAA